GAAGACACTAAAGTATCACAAAGAGCGACAACCTTATACTGTAAGATAATAATTAGGTGCTTGATTGAATTATAAGATGGGAGTCACAAATCCAGAAACTCCTCGACACTTGCATTGACTTTAGGTAACATGGAAATAATTTATATTCGGCAGCAAATCATATCGTCCTCTGGACGATGATATTAAATGTTATACGTGTTCATATTATTCCACGCTCCAAAAACCGGTCAGGGATCTCCACATGTTTGGCTCTAAGGTACTTCGCCAAGTTCTTTCCCAAGACGTCATACGTAGAGCTTGAAGCAACACCACGATCCAGATGATCCTTGAGTCAAAAGTGTACCGCTAGGATCTAGTCAGTGAGGGGTACTCCCAAAGAGAGACCATGAGCTTACCGCAAATTTTAGGCAATTCGAAGCGGAAGATAGGCTTGCCAGTATCATCGTCTCCAAGCAGTTCCCTGATCTTGTCAACAGTGAGGACGCTGCGCAACCAGTCCCATTCATCAGCCTGTCGAACAAAGAATCCCACATTGCAATCCGACCCCTTATCACCAGAGCGCCCATGAACGATATCCCCGAGGGGAGTTCTGGTGGTAAGGCCAAAGCTATCCACGTTAACTGGGTTCGAGGTCTCATGTACCCTGATCCTGAACGAATGCCTCTGTATCTGATGGAGGGGGTATCGGAAGCTCTAGCCCCTTACTGGGGAGGTGCACAACGTGGCTGATACTGGCTTGAGGTAGGACGCTGACCCACTATTCATAATAAGGCTTGGGTTGAGCTTGGCGAGCATCAACACCAAACGTGGCACCTGGATAGCCCTGCATTTTGACATCCGAAACTGGACGGAAGAAGTTGCCCAAGGCCAAGTCCTCTTCATTGCGCGCCTGGGCGGAAATTCGAAGGTCGATGGTAGCGGCATCCTGGCTACGCGGGTCTTCGGGGCAACGTCCGTTGATGCGGAACTTGAGGCAGTGAAACCTGGACTCGTAGAGCAAGTGCCTCACCTGTGTTTCTACCATATGCGCCTTTTCTTCGATGTCAAGACCTACGAGGAAGTAATGACCCTCAGCTTGATAGCCACCCTTCGCTGCAATTCCTACCTTTGTCGTTGGTGGCGGCTTGATGCCTTTAACACCAGTGACCAGGCTGACAAAAAGTCAGTTCAAATGAAGTAGTTTTTCCCATCATGTTATTTGGACTCACACTCGACCTTTTCCACTTTGCAGTATCTCGATGCCGTCGAGCCGAGCAACGACGTCGGAATTGTAGTAAAGCGGGCCTGCACCCCAGAAGCGCCAGACTGCGCTGGCTCATGTCATCCAGATTCCCACACCTGTCGTGCCGTTCGTCGTCAATTTGGCTACGTCCTATCAATAAACATAGCGAAAAAGCGGTGAGTTATCCCTCATCAGGCGAAGTTCTTCTGCAATAGAATGTAAGCCACGGGTGTCAGGTCGTAGTATCTGGTGTGGACTCACCAGCCGTGAAACGATTGCAGACATCCACTTCTGACATCTCCGCGCGCTTTGCATTGATGCACTTCAAAGAAACTTGGAGGATGACAGTGGAAATAATAGCCGCGAGGATTATACCCGCAGAGAGTCCGTATCCCAGCCAGTATTGAGGCGCTTGGTCTTCCACAAATATGTTCGAACCAACGGCGCCACCGAGGTTGCCAACGGTCATGAGCAGTGCCATGCCGATAGCCCGCTTGAAATAGGGGGCAAGATTGTTCCCAACCCACGAGATGCACCCGATGATCGAAGGGTAAAGCCCGCCTGTGATGGAAAAAAAGGAAAAAATACGTCAGGCCGGGCAGACCGGGGTGTGGGATACTGAGCACACCAACATAGCCGACCAAGGCGATGCAAAAAGGTATCACAATGAAGACCCAGCGCGTTTTACGCCGATCAGCCAGACGGGCAAAGAAAATTGTAGAGCATGCGCCAAAAAGATAGATCGGAATGGTCAGGAGCTGCGCTTGTGCTGAGGTATACCCAAGCTCTCGAATGATGGTCGGCGCAGCAAAACTGAAACCATAGACGCTGATACTGTGGAAAAGAAAGATTTAGTGTCCGTCATACTTAGGATATCCCGCTGTCTGATGTTAATGGGATTCATCAATGAGTTAACTTACCTGTTTCCCCAATAAATGATGACAGCCAAGTAGATTTTCCAGTCCGCCATGGCTGACCACAAAAACTTCCAGTCGAACTTTTGGTCGTGGTTGTCGCCTTCGCCGTCAGACAGGCCAATTTCATGCTGCATACGTGCGAAGAGGAAGCATTTTTCTTCAGCGGTCAGAAATGATGCAGATCTCGGGCCATCGGGAAGAATCCAAGCGATGAAAACTCCCACCAGGACGGTGAGAATGCCCTCGATGATGAAGATCCACCGCCAACCACTCAGACCCCCAACGCCATCCAGATGCTGAATTCCAAAGGCTAGTAGGCCTGAGAAACCACCGGCTAGTGACGCAGCCGAGAAAAATATAGCCATACGAGTCTGCAGCTCCCAGCGACAGTACCAAGTGGTCGAAAGGTACGTGGCAGCTGGGAAGAATCCTGCCTCAGTCACACCAATGAGAACCCTTGCAACAATGAGGTGCTCGTAGCTCCTCACTATACCTTGAAGTGTAACGACCTATGCTACATCAGACTCGCGTAAATCGTGACTTGCAAACATCGGGACTTACCGTTCCCCAAGCAACGATAAGTAAGGTGAGCCAATGAGATGGTCTCATGAGCTTGAGAACGATGTCGCTTGGCACTTCAAATAACGCATAAGGAAAGAAAAAGACCGTCAGTGCCATGTTGTACTGTGGTCCAGTGAGAGCAAGGTCATGCCCGCAATACGGGCATTTCCAATATTGGAGCGGTCAACGAACGCCAGGATATACAGAACTGTTAACGGTGGTAGGACTCGCCAATCGATCTTACGCAATAGTAGTTTGGTTTCCGTTGGATCAAACAACACATTCTAAGCTCTGTCAGTGGACGGCTACCGTTTGAATACCTTCAACACCCCACCTCAGTATCAACGTCGATCAAAGTCTTTTGGTTGGTTCTGTTGTTCTCTTTAGTTTCGGCGTGCTCGGATTCGTCTCGCATTTCATTATGCAAGGATTTCACTTCCATAGTGAACGGCTTTCTAATAAATGGCTGATCCGAGAAGACTGAATTAGAATCGTGCAAGTTGCTGGGAGGTGTCAGGAGAATGATGATCAGCTTTGTTCATTGCGTAGGGTAAGAAAGTAAGAAGGCATCTTGTACAGGAATGACGCTTCCTGAAAGCTGTCACAAGTTTCTTCCTGCCTCCCTAGAGCGTAAAACCGGTTGTGCTAGCATATTACAGTAAAAGTTCCCAGCCGGAAGTGTGGGGGAATGGTGCATCAGCCTTGAGTGGCTGGGTAGGGGAGAGCGCGGGGTGACGAGACCTAGCTGTCGATCACCGGGGTAGCCCCGGAAACATTTCCCGGAGCCACAGATGACAGATCGGTGTCCCTACGCCTGAGTGCCTCTAGTTCAAGTTGTATACCCTTGAAATTCGTAAACTTGCTAGCTTCGTATCAAATAGGCAATAGCGATGGGGGTGGACCGCTCTTTTTTAAATTGAAGGGTGATGCCACCAACTCTGAGCGAAGGGCATGTAAGACAAGCCGAGACACCAGCCATATCGTGCCCTTAGTACAATCTTTGCCATGCCCAAAGAAATTCCAGCGTTGGCGACCCCAGCCCATCTTATTCCCAAAGGCACCTGTACCTGCAATCTGTCTATGATCGATACCAGCTGCTATCTTACTGTGCCTGCCGACACCCTTGTACAACCGCCAATCAAGGGCCATGAGTTGTGGAACTTGCCGACCTTCTCCTTCCTTTCCAGCATCAGAGTTCTGGCCGACAGCTTCTCTTCGATCTCGGTTGCCGAAAAGACTTTCGGAATCTGCCGGCTCCCATCGCGGATGTCATAGACCTCAAAGTCCCTGGTATCAAGGTCGACTCAGACCTAGCGGACATCCTGATCAAGGGTGCAACTAATCTCAAGAATATCGAGGCAGCCATTGTGAGCCATCATCACTACGATCATACGGGGAACCCAGCGGCCCTGGTTGTTGGGCCAGGGTTCTCGGACGCCTTCATGCCTGGCTACCCAACAAATCAAGATTCTCCACTCTACGAAAACGCTTTCAAAGGCCGAGACGCTCATGAGATGGATTTCTCCGACTGTCAGATTATCGCAGGGTACCCAGCAAGAGACTTCTTCGGAGACGGCAGCTTGTACATCTTGAGCACCCCGGGCCACGCCATAGGGCACATCTCTGCCCTCGTCAGAACAGACGAGAGCTCATTCGCCTTTCTTGGTGCCGAAATTTGTCACTTTGGTGGCTCTTTCAGACCAACACTCTACCTCCCAATGCCATCGTCAATCAGTTCCAGCGACTTAAGCCGCGATGACAACCCAGCCCAAGAGTATCCCCCAGCCATATTCACGGGCCGTCACCCAAAGGCTTATAGCTGTAGAACCACTCCATACTATGAGGTGTGTGCTAGGGAAGACTCCTGGCATGTGAATCCGCCAGTAGCAGGTGCAAGTATAGATAAGCTCAAGAGTCTGGACGCGAATGGGGATGTACTTGTACTCATCGCACATGATCCGATTGCAAGCAAGGTCCTGCCTCTTTTCCCGGCCGGCACTCTTAACGTATGGGAATTGACAGATTGGAAAACGAAGCTTAGATGGGGGTTTCTGGATGAATTGCCGCAGGAAGATCGAAAACGAAAGTATTTGGTGGATGGGACTTATCGCAAAGGCAAACTTGTCAAACCTTTAGACATCTTGGATGTAAATCCAACGTAGGTTTGAGCTACCGTAGACAACAGTTTGATTACACAACAATTGCGCTCATGGCGAAAAGACCAGGACTCGTTTGCTAAGGCTATTTTACCATCTTTCCCATCATTTCTCGGCATCAAATATGACCTTCAGGGACTTCATGCTGTCGAAGATCTCGTACCCTTTGACGGCATCGCTGAGAGGCATGATAGTATCAGTCATGAAGCTGCGAATCGTTAGTTGACGGGTCAACAGGAAAGGACCAGTGGTATGCTCACTCCAGGAGTGGTTGCTTCTTTTCGAGAAGAGCTAGTGCGCGAGGGAACATGCCTGTAGAAATCTGGGGTTAGCTGCTTGAATAACAACCATCTTGCGGGGTTGACTTGCTTCGAACTGGACATCTGCCCATCTTCACCGTAAGATTCTTGCCATATGCTTGGTTTCCCGTCCATGGGATCTCTCCATTGTGGACACCCACGCTTGAAATTGTTCCCAAGGCCTTAGAAGCTTGAAGCCTGTATCCAACGCAGAGCTGTGGCCTACCACCTCGATGACGACGTCCGCACCTCGACCTTCGGTCAGTTCCTTGACCCTTGCTTCGAGCTCTTCTGCCTGGGTCAGATAATTCCAAGGCTCGGCCCCAAGTTCCTTCGCTTTGTCCAGTCTTGAAGGCACACCATCGACTGCGAGCAGGGCCTTGGGCTTATACTCCAAGGCCGCAATGAGGGCGCATAGACCAACTGGACCGCAGCCTATCAAGACAACCACGGCCTCTTCGGCAAAGCTCTGCGACGCCAATGCGTTTTCAGCAGCAAAAAATCCTGTGGGAAAGATGTCGGCCATGAGGCAAAGTTTGAGCTCGTCGATACCGGGGGGAGCTTTGACAACCGTTGAGTCCGCCCAGGGGACCCTCACGTACTCAGCCTGCGCGCCGTCAAGCAGGGGGCAGCCAAAAAGGAGGCACTCTTTGCAACGGGACGAAAATCCTCGGGAGCAATAAAAGCACTCTCCGCAGCTGACGGTAAAAGGGCTGACAATTTTGTCGCCGACCTTGAGGTTCTTCACGTCCGAACCAACCTCGTGTACCGTTCCAGAGAATTCATGGCCCATGATAAACCCTGGCGCAGATGGTTGATGGCCTCGGAAGACATGAAGTTCGCTGTCATTGCCGTCAGGATACAATCTTGGTATGGTGCTGTGCATCATACCTGCCGCACAGAGCCGTGTACCGGACCTTTACGATGACGTCTTTGGCATCCCTGACCGTGGGGACTGGTCTGTTCTGTACTGATATCTGCTTCGGCCCATCGAAGACGACGCACTTCATTGCTGACATATTGTTTGAGGTGCTTCGTGTTTGCCGCAAATCTGAAATAATACCTGGGTGTAGATGAACTTTGTTGGTGGCACAATGAACAAGCGCGGCAAATGGGCTGCCACCCACACTTGTCTTATCTACTCAAAGCCTCGGCGCACGACCAAACGACCCCGCACATCCAGCCGGTTCGCGACCGATACCTCTTCTGGACAGCCGTGGGCACACACCACACACACTCTTCCGTCGGGGCGGGTCGTAGCCTCGGCCGATGGACATGCGGCCCAGCATTGCAGCAGAGGTCCGGAGCAAAGCCGCTCGGACCGGAAATCAATTCCTAATGAACGAACGAACATGAAGCTGCCATCTTGGATTTATTCCACGAAGGCAATTCTTTCGTTCTCGTCGGATCATAACAATGTAGCCACTCACGCATTGTGATATTCAATTGCGCTTTAATACACTGCATGGCAGGTCATGCTCATCGCGCAATGATAATTATCGCATTGTGTTGGCTTGTAGAGAGCCGTCCGATTAGAGTAACAACGTCAATTAAGTAAATAAACAAATTTAGTCAAGGGCCTGGAAGTATATGCAGGGATCTCTGTGAGCTGTTCGCTACAACCTGTCATATTCAAGAGAAATATTGAAGCGGTCCTTAGTAAAGATATTCAGTGGCTTAGTATTGCGCGTTATCCTATTGTTGTAAGGTCAGCGAGTTGAACAAGAGACAGTGAGCAATGGTAAACGCACTACGCGTCGAATGTTGATCTTCCACATCGTTCCGCAGCGTTCACATGCTTTTAGATAGGAGGACTTTCAATTTCGTAGTATAACTGCTTGGGGTAAACATTTTTTTGTTGAAAAGGCTTCACTGCTTATGTGAGCCCCGATTCATTACTTGAGCTATACTGAGAGCACTCAATAGGTACCTTAGGGTTGGTGATACAAGACTTGTGGTGAATTGATATTATCTCTCTGATTCACTGCTAATTATCTGAATCACCACTTTATATCTGATGCATAAATCATGTGCGCTGTGGATCGCGGGCTCCTGAGAGCGGTGAATCTCAGCACCTGGGGATCACCATATCTGTGCATCACATACGGTGATTACCAACCCAGGCGATCCCCAAATTTGGGTTCAACGACTTCGCATCCCCATGGATCTTGAAAAAGAAACCCAGGCAATGACGAGTACATTCTACTGTATGATTGATATAGCACCACACGAATATGACCCCATTGTATAATGAGTGACGTTTGCTTCACATATCACTCCTCGGCAGGTGCAGAGAGTGATATCAACATGCGAGCTGTCCCAGATTCTAGTATACAACAACATCACAGATAGTAAGCAACATGGGGGGCATCATCAGAACTCTTGTGCCGCCTGATGATGGCCCTGAGAATAACAGTATATGTTTTCTCATGGGGATATGAAACAGGATATTGATCTCCCAAAAGGAATTACAGAACGTAATCGTCATGTTTCGCATTAGTAGTAGATCTATGATCTCATAGCTTTGTATGTAGTCCACAGTAATTAACCAGCTGCTGCGACAATCATTCAAAATCCCGCTGACTCGGCATTTCCTTGGGCTAAGGCCTTTCAACAAACGTAATATCCCATGCCGTCCCTTGCCACCCCGTAGCCTTTGAAGCATCACGACACGAGTTTCTCGTAACCGACCATGTACGTCATGGGGAGCGCCATGAATCTATCGCAGTCGTCGCTCAAGGCTGCAGCATACTCCTTGCTATTGTAGAAGACCAGCCAGTCATTCCACGTCCTAACCCATAGCTGCGCACACCCATCATAGTCCAGAATCTTTTCTCCCAGGCTTTGAGCTCTCTCCTTCATCTCCGGCGTTTGGTGATGCTGTTGCCGTCTCAGCTGCAACTCTTTGCGTGCACATCGCGAAAAAAACGCTTACCTGTGCGTATCGTACAATGTGTTTACGAAAAGCTCGCGTGGCCACAGCGAGATCAGGGTGCACCGTACTCTAGTCACAAAAGAACGTGTCATAGTCGATGGAGTCAATTTTTCTGAAGAAGACGGAGACTTTGATGCATGGCTGAAGATTGGGCTCAGCATCGTAGTCCAGCTGAGAATGCGTGAAGCTGTGATCAATCTTTTGCCACGGCATATTGGAAAGAACAGGGGGTGGATGGGGCAATGAAGCAAGACGAACGTTTGCAGGGACTTTGTGGCGTATGCGGTCGAGAATTAGGACGAGGTTGATATGGGACCAGAGTTTGGAGACTTTTAAACGATGTCCGAGATGGTCATGACACACGTCAGCCATTGAAGGCCTCTAAGAAAGGCCTGGCCGGGATTATCATCCAGTGGGGTCCAACCTGTTTGGGTAAACCAGCTGAATGCACGCGCCATCTCTGTAGGTACTAAGCTAGGTCTGGTCAGAACACAGTCATGAGCCAGGAATAATGTATGTCCAGCAGTGGTTGGAGTTAAGGTCGCCGTCAGGAAAGTCTGCAAGGGAGTAAAGCTCCTACGCACTCTGCGGTAGACATTTTACCAAGTAAAGGTGCAGAACTCTTTTCAGCTCTTTCGGCTTCATTTCCCGGGGCGATGGAGCTCGGTGGGAAGCAGGGGCTCTATTACCTTCCCCAGAATGAGCTGGACGACTATGGGGTTTCCGAATGCGAACACCTGCAAATGCGAGTCCTATGTTTAAAACGGTTCAACTTGAGCAGATATCAGGGAAAGAAATCGTGCTCAGTAGCATGACGCACAAGTCAGAAGCCCGATCCTGAGGGTCACTCCCTAACACAATCTCTTGCATGCCGGCCTCCTTCCCTTGGTCATGTCATTTCCTATCCACTTTGCTCGACATTTCCGCAATTTTCATGCAGACAACCATCATGGCCGAGGCCGGAGAATTCATTACAGTGGCCACCAGTCCGCCTTCCACTTCAGCCAAGCCTCAACGGAGGTCCCGGGCTGTATCCAACCTGACGCGACAGCAAGTCCAACACAAACGAGATCAGGATCGTAGGGCGCAACGGCGCCTCCGGGAAGGAAACAAGACCTGCGTCGAATCTCTCGAAAGCACAATCACTTGCCTGAAATCTACTCATGCTGAAGAGATTGCCGCTAAAGAGAGAACCATCAAAAATTTGAATGATGAGGTTAGATAATTGAGGCAGCAGATTCAACAATTGTCAACGTCTGGAACTGCGACCACCACAGGGTTGCACGCTTCTGTAACGCCCTCAGCTTCGTGGACGTCCCCTTCAGAGGACTTACCCGTCGTCGAAGATGAGGACGGACGATTGCCGTGGCAGCGCGGCTGGTTCGTCATGCCAGATGCCCTCCCCCAGGCACCTCAGGTAGGAAAGCGGATCGGTGATCCCGGCACGCAGACTTCTCCCGATACCTGCCTTTCACGGAACAAAATGCGGGTTCTGAAGATGAGGAATCATCTAATGCTGCATCCACATCTTGCAGGCAGGAGAGCGTAGCTCTTGCAATACACTTTTCAGCGCACACCCTCAAAGGGTTCACAGCGAGGCAATCCGGCCCCTCCGTATCAGACGCTGCATGCCAGACGGAGCTGGCTACAACCAAATCTACAGCCCTTACACGCCATTTAGCGCCAAGCACGCTCTTAGACCACATTCTCCTTGGATTTCTCCGTTTTCATTCTCACCCGACTTCCACAGATGCCGCACAACCTCTCATGGGAGGTTCGGATGTGTCGCTGAAGGCTTACCTCCACACTGAGCTCTATGGTAGCATAGATCCAATCAGCAGGCTTATGAACGAGGTTCTGTCCACGTTTGCCCACGTCCGAGCACCGGAAAAGATTTCCTTCATGTATGTCATGCATCGAACAATGCAAGCAAGTCCGAGACCCTTGGCCTCTGACGCGTTCTTTTCATTACTGATAGCCGTGCGCAGTGGCAAGTCTACCCTACCAAGTCCACTTTCGCCGATCTACCACGTTGGCTCCGACCTGCGGCAACCCAGATTACGGTACCGCATGATGCTTGGATAGATAACATACCTTGGTAAGCATTTCATACAAAATTGACCGACTCGAAGCCTGACATAGCAGGCCTAGGGTTCGCGATATGCTGATCGAGAGCCCCGACAAATATCCGTTTCCTGTGTTTTCCAGTGTCTACTCCCAATGCGTCACAGTCAGCTGGCCGTACGATGTCGACGACATAATTTACGAACAAGGCCATGATTTGATACCCAACAAAATCTTCGAAAAGCACATTCAGCGCCTCGGCAATTGGACAGTATCACGAGATTTTGAGGGACTTTATCCCGAGATGGTCCGTGCAATATACTCACGAGACTGAGCTACCCGATCATGCTCTGGGTTAATATGAATGAAAGCGTGTGGAGTTGAATCAATGTGACCGCTTACTGGGAAGATGATCAGCAGATCATATCGCGAGATCGCCCAATGACCAAGTGATATCGACAGTGCTTCACCAGTCACCTGAGCAGCTGACTCTTCATACCTTCGATGTTCAGTTCTATCCCAACTGCTCAAACCTGACGAGACCCACGCCTAGCCGGTGGACTTAGTCCGCTGGCCTAGTGTTGCGTTGCATGGCGCGTTGGGACTGACGTTATGCCCGCGCCCATATGCTCGTCGTTGTCATGAGCAAGAACGAGGCTCGTGGTCAGTCAAGACATGAGTCAGGCTAGGAGATCCCCACCATACCACATGCTTATAAGGCATCACGACAATCTACAAGGTAGTTCTTGAAACCCGAAACGCGGGGTATTCAAGACTGCCTTAGGCTTCGGGTTCTTTTGGGCTGTGGGAAAACTAGTGGACGACTCCCCAGACGAATCGTCCTGAAGTACCTGGGTATCTGGGTTCAGAGCGACGTCGAGGACGCCTCAGCAAACGAACTAAATAAGAGAGTTCGCGGTTTCCAAAGCACCCCAAATCAAGCCAGTTCTCTATCTTGACTACTCTGCATATCATTTCGTTGTCGGTATTGTCTTTACCCTGACATCGACCTCAAAACCGCAGACAGCACCTTTGAAATGTACCCCTTCCTCCTCCAGATTCACACGTCACCATGAGTTCTCTTCCGACCGAGACGATGCTGGCAGCACAATGTAACACGGTACGTCCATAGAAATCCTGCATCTTAACAACCACGCAAGTGCCTTGCCCTAACATAACTGGTGCAGGCTAAGAATAAGGTGGAGGTCAATGAGGTTCCGATTCCAAGATGTAAGGACAATGAAATCTTGATGAAAACAGTTTGCGCCACATTGTGCCATTAGGATCTTGTAGGTACTTTTCTATGATTGAAGCTTTGTTTCCGCATGGGTGCCAAGACTCGAAGGACTTCTTCTCGTTTGTCGGCGCATAACTCACGACATCGTCAACCTTGCAGATGCTCTTTTGGGGGCACACGGCCGAGAAGCCCCCAACGAATACGATGACCATCGGACACGAGAACACCGGCACCGTCGTAGCAATGGGCAAAAATGTTCGGGGTACGAAATCGGCGACAAAGTCGGATGCCTTGGTTGCAATTCTGCCTGCTGTAGGTGTGAGGCCCGCACAATTAGATCGCATCAGACCTGACCTCGGCCTTTGTAGACGAATGCGAGGGTTGCCAGGTCCACAACCTCTTCTGCGACAAGGGTACCCAAAGGCTACACGGGTTTCAAACTGCAGGCCATTTTGCAGAATATTCTGTCACAGATTATCGAAATGCTATGGCGTTGCCTGACGGAATGGATATGATCACCGCCGCGCCACTCTTCTGCGCTGGTATCACGGGTAAGATGCCTGCTCGATGCTCTTCCAAGTGACGATGAGTGTGAAGTGAGAAACTTAATTGACGACCAATACTCAGCGTATCACTGCGTCAAAGGTTGCAACCTCGTCCGAGGTCAATGGATTGCGATCATCGGCATGCAGCTGCTGTTTTCAGCGCCTCTAACGTTGCTTATGGCGATGCTCCTAAAACACTACGGTAGGTCTCCATACAATCTTGCACCATCGAGATAAGTCAATTGTTGGTCAACAGACTTACGCACCCGTCTAGCATTAATGGATCGCTCATGGTTGCCGGTCTACCTAAAAGCGAGCTTTCCATCTCAGCCCTCGACATTCTTTTGGGAAAGTTTCGCATTGCTGGCAAAAGCAGTGGAATTCCACAAAACATGCCAGAGGTTTTTCACTTCAGTCATAAGCATGGCATCAAGTCCCATGTAGTGGTTCACCACGACATTAATGACATCCAAAGCATGATTGACACAATGGAGGCAGGGAAAGCAGCTGGAAGGCTCGGCATTGTTTTTGATTGGCACTCATATACTTCTAAATTCAATCCTGCTTCCAGATGTAATGATGGCAGGCAAGTATTTAACGCTTCTCGGCGATGCTTTCCAGCGTTCCTCGGTGCGAATTCGTGCTGCGGTCGATGACTGGACGGTGTTGGCCTCTGGGATGATCGCGGCCCCGAACCTCGGACACTGAAGTTCGGTCGGGGGCCAGCCGCAGCAGTGCCTGGATGTGAATTCAGGCCCGCAGAACAATCTGTCGGTTGTGCCCTCCAATTGTCGCCACGCCGCACTGCATTGCCTCTATCTTGACATCTTCGCCAGGAGCGGGGCTATGCTGTTGAGATGCGGGATTACGCTTTATCTTGGCTTTGCTGATCATGTCGCTAAATGTGTCACATAGGGTCTTCCTCCACCCACGGACCTTCGGGCTTCGCGACCTGCGGACTCCGCTTTCGAGGCCCAGCAATCGGCACCAATGCACCGCTCGCCCGCCCTCGATTCTTGAAGCCGTTTTGGGTCGGCGATTTGCTGTTCAAGATGTCTTTGATCGTCTGCCTTGGATCTGATATTTATTGACGGTCTCCCTATGTTGGATTCATCTGCCATTGTAATGCTGCATCCAGTTCAAACTTTGATCCACGCCGCTCAGATCGTGCATCGCATTGGCATACCTATTCTCGGACGCAACACTACAGCCTGGCCATCATGACTTCTAGTCTGGTAGATGAGGGTAAAAAGTACGCCCTCAATGCAGCTAAGAAGGCTGTGAAAGACATCACGGGTAGCAATTCAAAGAAGAAGGTAGACAAGCCCCTTGGCAATAAGGACGATCCTGTGGACGGTCTTGTCCGCGTAGCCGCCGCTGTTGTCGGCTTCACATCAGAAGCAATTCAATATCGAAAAGACAAGAAGCTTCAAAAGACCGTCAATTCAAACAGTCAAGTGAGCCCATCCACCATCGAATTACTGAAGATGAAAGCAGACGTCTCGGGCCTTCGCGATGGTGGCGCGTCCCGCATTGCCAGGGCCTACGTCATCAACGCTGGATCCGAATGAGAGTCACTGGCGGAGGGATGAAGAATCACAAACAACACAAAACGCAGCTCATTTCAAGAGCGAGGCTACGTTGGTCGACAGGAGCCAGCCTGCGAGCCAGTTGACTGTCAATGGGACAATACAAAGTGAACAAGACGCCGGGCCCGTCCACGAAGGAGTCAACCGATCTAGCAATCGCATTTCTCAAGCGACATCCATATGAGGGGCGGTGATACTACAGACGAGCGAA